GCTCTTAAAATTATTACTATTATTTTTTTTAGTTATATATTATTTTACCTGTAAAATTATTTTTATAATTTTTTAAAAATAGTATTAAGTTAATTAAAAATTTAATAATGATTTAGTTTCAGGATTAGTTTTATTGAAAAAAAATTATTTGAATTTATTTAGGATTATTTTAATTATTATTATTAATTAATTAAGTTATTATAACATTAAAATATAATATAAATATAGTACATAATAGTAAATTATTTTAATCATAATTGTATTTATAAATACTATTATTTTTTTAATTAAAAAATTGTTTTAGTTAATGGATTTAATTAAAAAATTGTTTTAGTTAATGGATTTAATTAAAACATTTATAATTTCTTATAGTTTTAGAGATTGATAAATCAATTACAATTATTGATAAAATATTTTTTGATAAATTAATAGTTTTTTCTTAATTTTTATTATTTTTATTTAACTATTATTACATTATAATAAACATTATTGAAAAAACTGTTAATACAATATACTTATAATAGTAATTTAAGTGTTTTTTAATTTAAATATAATCACTAATAAAAGTAATAAATTATGTAAAAATTTAAGTTTAAATTATTAAAATTAATTAATACAAATTTATAAAACAAAATTTAAGTTTATAATAATATTAGTTATATGTTACTATTTAATATGAATTAAATGATTATTTTTAATACTAATATTTTAATATGCATTAATTGCAACATTTATATTAATTATAATTATATTATTTTTTTAAAATTCAAAAGATTTTTGTTTTTATTTAATTTTATAAACTGTAATAAATAATTAATAAAGTAATTAATATTAATTATATAATTAGTTAGAAAATTATTTTAGTAGGATGGATTAGTTGATATTTTTTTATTTAATTATTATTTTTATAAATTTAGCATATTATATATTAATAAATAGAAATATACAATAAAATAGTAATAAATTTAGTTGTAATAATAACTACTTATTAATTTAAAATTTATTTATCTAAATAATTATTTTCTTATATAATAGTAAAATTAATTTATTATAGTTATATTAATATAATTTTAAATACTAATTATTATTATCAACATTATATTATTAAATAAACTATAAAAACTATAAAATATGCAATTTTTTGTATTATTTTTTAAAAAACATTAATTATTTATTTTACTATAAAATAATTTTATTTTATCTTATATTAAAAGATAATTTCATTTTGTTTATATACAGTATACATGTATTTAAAACTGTAATAAATTAAAATAAACATAATTATAACTCTTTAATTAATGTAATAAAATGTTATAAGTTCGGACTCAAATTATTTTATTTGAATTTTTACTTTAATTATTTTTTTAAATAAAATATATAAATATTACTACTAATAGTAAATAAAAGACTACTAATTTATAAGATTTTAAATTAACAAATTGTTTTATATATTCACGAATTCCTGAAAGGAATACGTATATGCATTCTATAAGTCGGTCTGTCTGTCTGTCTGTCGGTCTGTCTGTCCCACGAGGACATAGGTTCGAATCCACTATCCGCTACAATTTTTGTTTTGTTTTTTTTCTTATTTAAGTTTATTTTTTAGGAAATTGAAGAAAATGGTGTCCAAAAATTAATTAAAAAAATTTTGAATTTTTTTTTAATTTTTTTTTAATTTTTTTGAATATTGATTTTTTATTTTTTTTCGTTTTTAAGTTTATTTTTTAGGAAAAGAGTAGTTTATTTTGTAATACTGAATCATTTGATACCCCACATGACTATAGTTGTTTATTTTGTCATACTAAATCATTTGATACTCTACATAACTATAGTTGATTTTATTTTATCATACTGAATTTAATTTTTAATTATGATTAGGAATTCGTGTGGAAATGCTTTCTAGCATTCTCAACTGGTTTTTTAATAATTTAAAATATAATACTATTAATAGATAAAAATAAAATTTTAAAAATATTAACGTATAGTATGTATGAATGAATGCAATTTTTTTTGTATAAAAGTTTATTTGATGACTAAATTAAAACAATAAATAAATAAAAATTAATACAACAAACGATATGATTTAATTAGTTGTAATAATTGCTATAATAATAATAATTTAAATAAAGTTATTTTAAATTCAATCAGTGATATAATATAAACAGTTGTCAAATGTTTAATAATAATTAAGACAATTATGAAAATAATCAGTTTTTTGATGAAAATAAAAAAAGTGATAATTGAATCAATTGAATGACAAACAAGTAATGGCTGATTGATAACAAAAAGTTTATGAAAACATTGCATTCAAAAATCGGTTAATTATTAAACTATTATTATTTGTAATGATTATAGTGAGTGCGATAATAATAACAATAGTGTAATAGATACTAATGACAAACACACACCTATTATAATAAACAATTTGTATAATTTAAATGATTTAAATTATTAACTGATTTTCAGTGAAGTGCATATATTATCGACAAAAAATGTCAACAATTGTCATCAATTTAGTGGACAGTTAGACACTGAGAGAGAGAGAGAGAGAGAGATATATATTAAAAAATTGTTTGTTTGAATATAACTTTACCGATGAGTCCGGCCATTGATTGGGAGATAATTAAAGTAAGTTTTTTCATTCAATTTTTAAAAAATAAAAATTATATAACAGTTTAGATTTTAATAGTAGTTTTTTTTGTTTAGTTATATTATCTAAATTAATAATATTAATAATATCATTTAATATTTATTTATTTTATGAACATTCATTGTATTAATATTTTTTATGAATTAACAATTACTTACGTAATAATAATAATAGGAAAGCTATTACTGTATTAATTTATTTATTGAATATTTTTATTTTAATAAACCAATTCATTAATTAAGAATCTAATATACTTTAAAACATAACAACTATTATTATATTTTACTAAATTATAAATTTATATAGAATTAAGTTTAATTATTTTTAATAACAAAATAAAACTAAAATTATTTATGACAATAATATTTATGATAATTTAGTGAAGATTTTTGTGTAAAACATTGATTACATTCATTGACATTACATTTAAATGGTTTAATTCCTGAATGGTTTCGTTGATGTCTTAAAAGTTAAGATTTAGTAACAAATTGTTTGCCACAGTTATCGACATCACATTTGTATGGTTTTATATTCAGATGAATAGTTTGTTTATGTTTTTGTAAAATATATTTGTTTGTAAAATATTTGACACAACTATTGTAATCACACATAAATTTTTGTTTATTTGAATGATCTATTGATATGTGTTGTCGTAAACAATGATTTGTTGTAAATGTTTTCAAACACTCATTTACTGAACACTTAATTTGTTTTTTCTTCAAATGAGTTAATTTATTTATTTGATAATTGTATTTATTTAGAAATGTTTTATTACAATATTCAACATCACATTTAAATAATATTTGCTTTAAATGATATTGAATTTCATGTCTTTTAATAGCAAACTTTGTTGTAAATGTTTTATTACAATTTGCATAAAAGCATTTAAACTTTTTATTAAAATGAAAGCTAGATTTATGTCGATTTAAATATGTATTACAACTTGTAATTGTAATTTATAAGTAAAACTTTTGTCACAATCATTGACATCGCAAACATATTTAACATTTAAATGTTTAGATTTTTTATGACAATCTAAATATGATTTAGATTAGATATAAAATAGTTTATCAATTAGCAATACATTAAATAACATTTAGTGTATAAAAATTATTGATGACATCAATATTTATGATAATTTATTGATGATTTTTTAATCACATTTTAAATATTACATTCGAATGGCTTTATATTTTGATGAAAATATTATTTATGTTGTTTTAAATTTGTAAAATATTTTCAACAGCTATTGTAATCACACTTGAATTTGATCTTCAATTGAATGATCCCATGATTTGTGTCGAAGTAAACAATGATTTGTTGTAAATGTTTTCAAACATTCACTAACTAAACAAATATATTGTTTTTTCTTCAAATGAGTTAATTTATTTCTTTTATATTTATTTTTAGTTGCAAATGTTTTATTACAATAGTCGACATCACAAATTTTTGTTTTAAATAAAATTGAATTACATGTGATTTAATACCAAACTTTTTGGTAAATATTTTATTACAATTTAAATAAAAACATTTAAACTTTTTATTAAAATGAACGCTAGATCTAGTAAAAGATTAATCATTAAATAGGATTCATATATAAATATTATTATTGTTTGTTTAAATACAATATAATAATGTATGCAAAATATATAGACAAAAAATCATTTAATTAAACCAATAAACCAATTGATTAATTAAGTTTCTAATATATTTTAAAACTATTTAATAACTATTAGTATAAATTAAAATATATTCATTAAATAATTATTTTGATTTTACTTATTTAATAAATTATCATGAATTTTATATACAATTAATTAGTATATATATAAAATTATTTGTTGTAAAGCACTTTTCAAACACTGGTTTTACTGAACAACAAAATTGTTTTATTTATTTTAAATAATTTTTTATGATTTATATTCACAATTAGTATCAAATGTTTTATCGCAATACTGGACATCACATTTATTATTTTGTTGATTATTAATTGTGAAAAATTTTTTATTTGATATTTCAAATTTATTTTAATAAAAAAAATAATTTATTTAAAGTATTTAAAACATTTTGAAATTTAGAAAATTTCAAGGATGTTTCATAAAAGTGTAAATAAAAAAAATACTTGTATTAAAATATAATAATAAATGATTAATAAATGAAATAATTATTTTGATTTTATATATTGAATTAGGTTTAGTTAGTTTTAAAAAAACAACCAAAAATAAATGTAAAATTATTTATGACAATAATATTTATGATAATTTAGTGAACATTTTTGTGTAAAACATTGATTACATTCATTGACATCACATTTAAATGGTTTAATTCCTGTATGTTTTCGTTGATGTACAAAAAGATTAGATTTAGTAGGAAATTGTTTGCCACAGTTATCGACATCACATTTATATGGTTTTATACTTAGATGAAAAGTTCGGTAATGATGTCTTAAATGTTTTTGATTTGTAAAATTATTTTCCATAGCTATTGTAATCACAAATAAATTGTGGTTCAATTGAATGATCTATTGATTTATGTTGTCGTAAACAATGATTTGTAGTAAATGTTTTTAAACAGTCGTTTACTGAACACATAAATTGTTTTTTCTTCAAATGAGTTAATTTATGTTTTTTATAATTGCCTTTTGATACAAATGTTTTATTACAATAATCGACATCACATTTAAATAATGTTTGTTTTAAATGAAATTGAATTTCATGTAATTTAATACCAACCTCTGTTTTAAATATTTTATTACAATTTTCATAAAAGCATTTAAACTTTTTATTAAAATGAAAGCTTGATTTATGTCGATTTAAATGTGAATTTCTAGTAAAACATTTCCGACAATCATTGACATCACAAACATATTTAACATTTAAATGTTTAGATCTTTTATGATAATCTAAATTTGATTGAGTTTTGAATGTTTTATTACATTTATTACATTCAAACAGTTTTATAGATGAATGCGTTAATTGATGTATAAGTAAAAGCCTTTCATTAGTATTAATATATCGACATTTAGGCCAAAAGCACTTGAATTGCTTGTTGTTATCCATAGATGTGTTGTTGTTGTTGTCATAACAGTCACTATAATCAGTGATTTTCATAGAAATGCAATCATTTGTTGTAATATTCATTGCATTCAAGGCATCCATTGCTTCACACAATTCATTGCATTTGTTATTAATTTGTTGTACTTTTAATGACAAACATTTAAATTCATAAAATTTATTTAATTTATGAATAGTTTTGTTTAATAACAACTTCATTATTGTTTTAGAAAATTTCACTAAAATATATCAAATAAATACTATTTTGTTGTTTTGATCGCACATTGAAATCACACCAAACAGTTAGTGATAGGAAAAGGATATTACAGTTTATATATGACTTTTAAGTGTTTAATAATCCTTAAACCTGTTTAATGATTGCTATATTACTTTTACCTTAGATTAACAAAAATATTACTATTGTTTTTGTTTTGAAATACTTTAGTAGAAACCTTAAAATAGTTATTTATTTTTATTGTATTAATTTATAATTATTATTATAAGTTTATTTATTTTACGTTAGTATTTATATATAAGTATACATTGTTTAATCATTTATAAATTTATTATTAAATTGTATATATTTTTTATAGTATAACTTTATATATTAATATATTTAATGTATTTTTTAATAATAAATTAAACATAATTATAATGATTTATAAATTATTAACACAATATTGTAATTTAAAAAAAAAAAATTATTATTTATTTTTAATAAGTATTTTAAGTTAATTTTTTCTTAAATATACTTAATTATAAATAGTTAATTACATTTAATTTGCATGTTATTAATTATTTTCATTATAAATTATTGAGTGAAAAACTAATTATTATAATCTTATTATTATTATAATTAATAGAAACTAATTAAAATAAACCAAATAATTAATATATTTAAAAATATATTATATATTATATAAAAAAATGATTTATATGGAAATTTTTTTTCAAAAAAATTATTTTTATTTTTATAAAAATTAGTATTATAAAATTGTATTTATTTTATGAACATTTATTGTATTAATATTGTTTATGAATTAACAAATATTTTGAATAATAATAATAATAATAATATGAAAACTATTACTCTATAATTTATTTATTGAATATTTTTTATTTAAATAAATCAATTCATTAATTAAGAAACTAATATATTTATAAAACATAATAACTATTAGTATAAATGAAAAAAAATTATTAAATAATTATTTTACTTATTTAATAAATAATCATTTTATATAGAATTAAGTTTAATTATTTTTAATAACATACAAAAAAATTAAGCTAAATTTATTTATGACAATAATATTTATGATAATTTAGTGAACACTTTTGTGAAAAACATTTATTACATTCATTGACATTACATTTAAATGGTTTAATTCCTGAATGTTTTCGTTGATGTCTTAAAAGTTCAGATTTATTAGCAAATTGTTTGTCACAGTTATCGACATTACATTTGTATGGTTTTATACTCAGATGAAAAGTTCGGTAATGATGACTTAAATTTCTTAAATTTGTAAAATATTTTATGCAGCTATTGTAATCACACTTGAAGTCAGATTCAATTGAATGATCTATTGATTTGTGTTGTTGTAGACAATGATTTGTTGTAAATGTTTTTAAACAATCGTTTACTGAACACTTAAATTGTTTTTTCTTCAAATGAGTTAATTTATGTATTTTATAATTTCCTTTAGTTGCAAATGTTTTATTACAATATTCGACATCACATTTAAATAATATTTGTTTTAAATGATATTGATTTTCATGTCTTTTAATAGCAAATTTTGTTGTAAATGTTTTATTACAATTTTCATAAAAGCATTTAAACTTTTTATTAAAATGAACGCAAGATTTATGTTGCTTTAAATATGTATTACTAGTAAAACATTTGCCACAATCGTTGTAATCGCAAACATATTTAACATTTAAATGTTTAGATCTTTTATGACAATCTAAATATGATTTAGATTTGAATGTTTTATTACATTTATTACATTCAAACTGTTTTATAGATGAATGCGTCAATTGATGTATAAGTAAAAGCCCTTTATTATTATTAATATACCGACATTTAGGCCAAAAACACTTGAATTGTTTGTTGTTATCCATAGATGTGTTGTTGTTGTTGTCATAACAGTCACTATAATCAATGATTTTCATAGAAATGCAATCATTTGTTGTTTTAATATTCATTGCATTCAAGGCATCCATTGATTCACACAATTCATAGCAATTGTTATTAATTTGTTGTAATTTTAATGACAAACATTTCAATTCATAAAATTTATTTAATTTATTAATAGTTTTGTTTAATAACAACTCCATTATTATTGTTTTACTAAAATATACCAAATAAATACTAATATGTTGTTTTGATCGCACATTGAAATCACACCAAACAATAATTAAAATAGGAAATGGATATCATATCACTTTATATACAGATATATATTTATATTTAATCCTTAAACCTGTTTAATAATTGTTATTACATTTTATACTTAAGGTATACTAATACTAATGTATTTCGTGTTTTGATCGCCTATTGAAAATCATACCAAAAAAATGTTTATCATATGAAAAGTAGATATCATTTTATATATGAGTTTTTTTTGTTTAATCCTTAAAACCTATTTATTATCTGTTTAATTAGTATTATTAGTTTATTAGGACATATCATTTTATATAGAGGTGGTTCATAGTTATCATTATATTAAAACAATTAATGTATAATTTATTTATGCTTTAAAGATATATTAATTGATTAAGTATAATATTTTTATATAATTATAATAAGTTTTTTTTTGATCAGTGAGTTGGACTAAATTGAGGGCCAGTACTATATATATATACATCAAAACACAAAATACATTAGTATTAGTATACCTGTAATAATGTAATAACAATTATTAAACAGGTTTAAGGATTAAATATAAATATATATATATCTGTATATACAGTGATATGATATCCATTTCAACGTTAGAAACGGTATCTAAAAACCGTTTTGTGATGAGTTTTTTGAGGGATACACCTGAAAGATATGTATTGTTTGTTGTGTTCTCTCTCTCTCTCTCTCTCTCTCTCTCTCTCTCTCTCTCTCTCTCTCTCTCTCTCTCTCTCTCTCTCTCTCTCTCTCTCTCTCACTCTCTCTCTCTCACTCTCTCTCTCTCTCTCTCACTCTTTCACTCAAATTATTATTACTTTCGCTATTTACACACTTTGTTAGTACAAAAAAAAAATTCATATTATTGATTATTAAGATTTTATTAATAAAACTAATAATAACTATTATATTATTTTTTTAAACAATTTTTTAAATATTCAAAAAATATTTAGTTGTATTTTATTATTGTATATGATTATTGACATAACTTTTTTAAAAATCATTGAAATTGCATTCATATATAAATATTATTATTTTTTAATTTAAATACTATATAATAATGTGTGTAAAATATATAAACGAAAAAAATCATTTATATAAATGAAATAAAAAACAGATAAAAATTCGTCATTAATAGATTAGGAAATAATTAAAATTAAAAATAAATATTTATATGCAGTATATATAATCAGTAAATTAATAATTTATAAATTATTTTTAGTTATTAGTTGACATTAATTAATCTTTAATATCACATTTATATGGCTAATATAATGTATGAATTGTTTTATGATAATCAAAATTATGTCTACTATTAGTTTTATACCGACATTTAGGCCAAAAACTAGTGTTGGCAAAAAAGAGAAATTTATAAAATAATAGAGAAATTTCTAGAAACTTTCTAAAAGAAATTTCTATCTATGGGATCCCCATGTTAATTTTGTTTTCTCGATATAAGTTATTATGTAAAATACAAGTTTTACAAGTAATAATTAAATATAAGTATTAATATTTTTATTATTAATTAAAGTAAAAATTAATTTATTTAATTATCTTAAATTCTTATATATATAATAAAATGATTATTAAAATTTTAGAAAACTGATTATTATTAAATAATTATTATTTTACATATAGGTATCGCATTTATTAGTGTATAGTGTAATGTTATATGAATAGTAGTTAATGTCTCATTATTTATATATTATTTCAATAGCTATAGATATGGGGATCCCATAGTATAACAATAAAGTTAAATTTCTATAGAAATTTATTCTTGAGAAACTTTCTAGAAACTTTCTCAGGGAAATTTATTAGAAACTTTCTATTTGCCCATCTCTACCAAAAACACTTGAATCGCTTGTAAGTGTTATTAATGTATAATTTATTTATTAAAAATTTTTATTTTAATAAATCAATTCATTAATTAAGAATCTAATATAATTTAAAACATAATAACTATTATTATATTTTACTAAATAATCAATTTATATAGAATTAAGTTTAATTATTTTTAATAGCTAAATAAAACTAAAATTATTTATGACAATAATATTTATGATAATTTAGTGAATATTTTCGTGAAAAAACATTGATTACATTCATTGACATCACATTTAAATGGTTTAATTTCTGAATGTTTTCGTTGATGTCTTAAAAGTTCAGTTTTAGTAGCAAATTGTTTGCCACAGTTATCGACATCACATTTGTTTGGTTTTATATTCTGATGAATAGTTCGGTAATGATGTCTTAAATATTTGAGTTTTGTATAATATTTTCCACAGCTATTGTAATCACACTTGAATTCGCGATCAATTGAATGATCTATTGATATGTGTTGTCGTAAACAATGATTTGTTGTAAATGTTTTCAAACACTCATTTACTGAACACTTAATTTGTTTTTTCTTCAAATGAGTTAATTTATGTAATTTATAATTGTATTTTGTTAGAAATGTTTTATTACAATAATCAACATCACATTTAAACAATATTTGCCTTAAATGATATTGAATTTCATGTGTTTTAAGCGCAAACTTTGTTGTAAATGTTTTATTACAATTTTCATAAAAGCATTTAAACTTTTTATTAAAATGAACACTAGATTTATGTTGATTTAAATTTGAAGTTGTATTAAAACTATTGCTACAATCGTTAACATCGCAAACATATTTAATCAATAAATGTTTAGATTTTTTATGATAATCTAAATTTGATTGAGTTTTGAATGTTTTATTACATTTATTACATTCAAACTATTTAATAGATGAATGCGTCAATTGATGTATAAGTAAAAGCCTTTTATTATTGTTAATATACCGACATTTAGGCCAAAAGCACTTCAATTGCTTGTTGTTGTCATAACAGTCACTATAATCAGTAATTTTCATAGAAATGCAAACATTTGTTGTCAACAATTTTCATCAATTTGGTGAACATTTAGATACTGAGAGAGAGAGAGAGAGAGAGAGAGAGAGAGAGATTACAAAATTGTTTGTTTGAATATAACTTTACCGATGAGTCCGGCCATTGATTGGGAGATAATTAAAGTAAGTTTTTATCCTTTATTTATTTAGTTATTTATTTTTATTAAAACTTTTATTGTAATTGTATTATTGTTTATGAATTAACAATTACTATGAATAGTTATAATAGGAAATCTATTACTGTATAATTTATTTTTTGAATATATATTTTTAATAATCCAATTAATTAATTAAGGATCTAATATTTTTTTTAATTAAAATAACTAACAGTATAAATTAAAAAAAATCATCATATAATTATTTTGATTTTATAAATTATCATTAATTCTAATTATTTAAATTAAGTTTAGTTATTTATTTATAATAATATAAAAATAAATCTAAAATTATTTATGACAATAATATTTATGATAATTTAGTGAAGTCTTTTGTGAAAAACATTTATTACAATCATTGACATTACATTTAAATGGTTTAATTCCTGAATGATTTCGTTGATGTTTTAAATGTTTTAATAGTAAATTGTTTGCCACAGTTATCGACATCACATTTGAATGGCCTTATATTTAGATGAAGATTTATGTTGTTTTAAATGTTTTAAATTTGTAAAATATTTTCCACAGCTATTGTAATCACACTTGAATTCGGGTTCAATTGAATGATCTATTGATATGTGTTGTCGTAAACAATGATTTGTTGTAAATGTTTTTAAACACTCGTTTACTGAACATTTAAATTGTTTTTTCTTCAAATGAGTTAATTTATGTATTTTATAATTGCCTTTTGATGCAAATGTTTTATTACAATATTCAACATCACATTTAAATAATTTTTGTTTCAAGTGGTCTTGAATTTCATGATATCTAATACCAGACTTTGTTTTAAATATTTTATTACAATTTTCATAAAAACATTTAAATTTTCTATTGAAATGTTCAATTGATTTATGTCGATATAAAAGTGAAACCAGTAAAACTTTTAAAAAAAGAAAACAATTGATTAATTAAGTTTCTAATATATTTTAAAAATATAATAACTAATAAATAAAAAAATATTATAAATTCATTAAATAATTATTTTGATTTTACTTAATTAATAATTTTTTATTTTATATACAATTAATTAGTATATAAATATAATGATTTGTTGTAAAACACTTGTTTTACTGAACAATGAAATTGTTTTTTTAGTTTAAATAATTTTTTATATCATTTATATTCACAATTATTAGCATATGTTTTATAGCAATACTCAACATAACATTTATTATTATTATATTGTTGACTATTATTAATTGTGAAAATATTTTTATTTAATATATATTTTAATAAACAAAATAATTGATTTAAAGTATTTAATACATTTTGAAATCTCGGTTCAATTGAATGATCCAATTATTGGTGTTGTCGTAAACAATGAGTTGTTGTAAATGTTTTCAAACAATCGTTTACTAAACACTTAAATTGTTTTTTCTTCAAATGAATTAATTTGTGTGACTTATAATTGCTTATAGTTTGAAATGTTTTATTACAATATTCGACATCACATTTAGATAACATTTGTTTTGTATGAAAATTAATTAAATGAGTCTTCAGATTAAATTTTGTTGTAAATATTTTATTACAATTTTCATAAAAACATTTATTTAATTTTTTATTAAAATGAACGCTAGATTTATGTCGATTTAAAAGTGAATTATAAGTAAAACTTTTCCGACAATCGTTGTAATCGCAAACATATTTAACATTTAAATGTTTAGATCTTTTATGATAATCTAAATTTGATTGAGTTTTGAATGTTTTATTACAATCATTACATTTGAATAGATTTTCAAATGAATGAATTGCTTGATGTATAACTAAATTGTTTTCATTATTAGTTTTAAACCGACATTTAGGCCAAAAACACTTGAATCGCGTGTTATTGTTATCCACACGTGTGTTGTTGTTGTTGTCATAACAGTCACTATAATCAGTGATTTTCACAGAAATCCAATTATTTGTTGTAATATTCATTGAATTCAAGTCATCAATCGTTTCACACAAAACATCAATATTTTGTGACAAACCTTTTGTTTGTTTATCACTTATACTATTGTGTAATGATTTCAATTCACTTAATTTATTTAACATATACTTAGTATTAACTAATTTATCATTTATTATATCCATTTCTTAATTAATTATAATTAATATTAAATAGTAATATTAGTTAGTATTGGTTAGTAATATTAAAATTAACAACAAATAGACAAAAAACAATAGCAAATAATAACAACAAATAACTACTAAATACTGAATCAAACAAACAAAGCAATAGTTTTGGCGCTTATATTGTGTTAATTCAATAGCAATGGATATCAATGTATAACTTAATACTAAAAACCGGTTTATTTTCTATTAAAACAAACTACAGTTTTAGTACAGATCTCTCTCTCTCTCTCTCTCTCTATCTCTCTCTCTCTCTCTCTCTCTCTGTCTCTATCTCTATATCTATCTCTATCTCACACACACACACACACACACACACACACACACACACACACACACACACACACACACACACACACACACACACTCACTCACTCACTCATTCACTCAAATTTTTATTACTTTCGTTAAACCACTTTTGTTAGTACAAAAAAAGTTTTTAATTTAATTTTATTGATAATTAAGAATTTATTAATAATATTTATATTAACTATCATATTATTATTATTATTATTATTTAATAACATAAAATATTATTGACATAACTTTTTTAATCACTGAATAGCATTCATATATAAATATTATAATTGTTTATTTAAATACTGTATTATATGTGTAAAATATATAGACAAAAATTATTCAATTAAATGAAATAAAAAAAAACTATTAAAAAATAATTACAATTTTACAAATGAAATTTTTTTGTTGTTATCATTAATAGATTAGAAAATAATTAAATTAAAAAAATTGTTTTATATTTAAATACAGTATATGTAATCAGTTATAATAAACTTTGTTTTTTTTAAATTGTTGCAATTATTTACATCACATTTGAATGATTTAATTAAATTTTAACAATTTTATTAAATATTCAAAAACAAAGTATATTTAGTTGTCTTTTATTATTATTTTAAACAATAATTATATACAGTATAACTAATCTGTCATAATCTAAATCATATATAAAAATTATTTTGTTATTAGTTGTTATTAATTAACTAATTGATGAAAAATATATTTATGATATATTAAACTTTCGTTTCTACCAGGGTTTTAAAAATGGCAGGCATAAACAATAGATGCCAATTTTGCCAAATGCCTGCCCTGCCTCTGCCATGCCCTGGGCATCTATTTTCAGGTGGTGACACCTATTATTTTAATTTTATATTATTAATTAATTTATAAAACATTGTTTTTATAATATATTTGCTTGTATTTTTGTTTTGTATACCTTTAATTAAAAGGTAATATCATTGGAAATAAATAAATTAATTGTAAATTTAATTAACACGCTAAAACACTAAATTACATTATTTTATAAATACAGTTGCTTTTTAGCAATTTAAATTGGCAGGCAAATAAAATAAATGCCCAAAATGCCAGGCATTTATGGCATCTATTTGGGCATTGCCAGGGCAGGCATTTATATTCTTAAAACCCTGGTTTCTACTGAAAAATTTGTTGCAGTTATTGACATCACATTTGTATGGCTTTATACCCAAATGAACAGTACGTTTGTGATAATTCAAACTAATTGAAGATAAAAATATTTTCTCGCAGCTGTTGTAATTGCATTGAAATTTGGTTTCAATTGAATGATCTATTGATTTGTGTTGTCGTAAACAATGATTTGTTGTAAATGTTTTCAAACACTTGTTTACTGAACAATGAATTTGTTTTTTCCTTAAATGTATTAATTTATGTAAATTATATGATTTTTTGTTTATAAACGTTTGGCCACAATAGTCGACATCACATTTTAATGGTTTTTCTTTTAAATGCACTGTTTTTATATGATATCTAATACCATATTTTTGAGTAAATGTTTTGTTACAATCAATATAATTACATTTAAATGGTCTATTAAAATGAATACTTAATTTATGGTTTTTTAGATTATAGTTTGTAGTAAAACTTTTGCCGCAATCGTTGACATCACAAACATATTTATTATTGAAATGTACATAATTTTTATGGTAACATAAGTTTGATGATAATGAAAATGTTTGATTACAATCATTTAAATCACATTTAAATGGCTTATGTAATGTATGAATCGTTTTATGATAATCTAAATTTTGTTTAGTATTAGTTGTAAACCGACATTTAGGCCAAAAACACTTGAATCGCGTGTTATTGTTGTTATCCATACATGTGTTGTTGTTGTTGTTGTCATAACAGTCACTATAATCAGTTATTTTCATTGAAATGCAATCATTTGATTCATATAAAACATCAGTATTTTGTGACAAACTTTGTGTTTGTTTATCACTAATACTATTGTGTAATGATTTCAATTCACTTAATTTATTTAACATATACTTAATATTAACCAATTTATCATTTATTATATCCATTTCTTAATTAATTATAATTAATATTACAAATAACAACATAAAAAATTAGGACATATTAAAAATAAATATGTTTGCGATGTCAACGATTGTGGCAAATGTTTTAAAAATTTAAATGTAATTATATTGATTGTAACAAAACATTTAGTCGAAAATATGATATTAGATTTCATGTAAAAGCAGTGCATTTAAATGAAAAACCATTCAAATGTGATGTCGACTATTGCGGCCAAATGTTTGCAAACAAATATTCATATAATTCACATAAATTAATACATTTAAAGAAAAAACAATTTCATTGTTCAGTCAACGAGTGTTTGAAAACATTTACAACAAATCATTGTTTACGACAACACATATCACGGGATCATTCAATTGAACCACAATTTACTTGTGATTACAATAAATGTGGAAAAATATTTTTTACTGCAAAATGTTTGTATCGACATAAACGTACTATTCATTTGAGTATAAAGCCAT